ATCTTAAAAAAAGAACCCACTTTTCCATCTGATGCTCTCTATGAGGAATGTCATGTATTTGACGTCTAACAACTCTTTTTCCTGAAAGAAAAAAATTTGAATTACCCACACATGAATATGATATACGTCAACGAAATCAACATATCATACCACAAATGCAAAAACTGATATCTCATGAAATCAAATTGATTATGAATCCACATCTCTTCAAAAAAGAACTGAAATCTTTCATATATAAAGAACCCCGGAAAAAATTTCGTGAAGTCATTGTTGGTCGACTCGAATGATGAATATTTTTTATACTCTCTCATCTCTCCTCTCATTCACTACTCGCTAGTATGTAACATTATGTATTATACGTAATAGGTATAAGTTTATATTTCTCCAATGTAATTTTATCGATATTATCTTTGTCTTTTTTGTCTTTTGTCTTTTGTCTTTTATTATATGTATATTTTTTCAGTATTATTTCATCACTAACAAACACGTTTAGAGATTCTATGATTTCTTGTTTATTCATACATGAATCTTATATAATTCACGTAAATTGGCAGGATGAATAAACTTTACTATTATTATTATTCATGCACGATATGTCCAACACGTTCCTTTGATATCTTCAGAGCCTTAGCCATCTCGATCAACTTCACTTTGCGGTCACCCAAAATTATTTTGTGAATATTTTCTGTTTTCGTCGGTAACAGCCTCATTGGGGCGTTTACTGCGTAAATTTTCATGGTGCAAACTATGAATAATGTTTATCAAGCTAAGCCTTGGCTTCAACAGTATTTTTTTCACCAAAAAGCAATTTTTTAGTAACACTCGAAATTTCTTTCACACATTTTCTTCAAACTAACAAAAGTTGCTTCACTCAAAATTTTCTATCACACAAACTAATAGTCCGACAGCTGTGAAATCTGTACACTTATTTTTGTAAGGTTAGGGTTAACTGAAAATCATATGAATTCATTACTAGTAACGCCATCTGTGTTACTACGAACTTTTCAGCCCACCTAATATATAATACTTACCCACATTGTCCTTTTTTGGACATTCCCTCTCAGGTAACTTCATATTCTCGTTAACTTTCGGTCTATCAAAAATATTCCTAAATTTCAATTCTCCAATAGTTCTCTGATGGTTGAGCCCAATTTGATTGAGAAGCTGAAATGAATCAATAAATCATCTTTCAGAGATCATATATTCTCATTGTTGTTACATACGCACATTTTGAAAATATTCCGTATAGGATAACTTCTTTCCCAACTTTGCCCCTAGGGCAAGATCAATAATCTTTTTTCGCATGTTTTCTTCCATATAGGGCGTTCCTTTGAGTGACATACAATCCACAAAAAATTCATACCTGTAATAGACATATCGTGTGGGTGTTATTCGAACTCAAAACAGAACTTCTCAAGTTCCTCTGCGGAGATAATCTGTCACAAACAACGTGTTAGCGGAGATGGCATGAATATTCATCAACAATATTCTGTACTAATACAAACGTCTCCGTGAACATTTTCGGAGTTCATTAATCTGGAAAGACTAAAATCAATGACTTTTTATTCTTATGGATAATGAATTTCATAATTTGACAGAGAATAATTTAAACAATATGGGCATCAGAACTTTCATATACCGTTGATTTGGTAATTATTAGTATAACAGAAAGTACTTTGTTTATAAGAAGGAAATCAGTGAGTCAAGGAAACCTGTATTATGGGGGGTTTCACAAGGATCTACCATTGTACCAGAACGTTTCATATATTCACTGGCTGACTCAAGTAATTAATTGATTCATCAAATAATCAAGTGTTCTCTGATTATACATCTTCCATTTATCCATAATCCACAAAAAGTGAAACAGAATATACTTCATGATCTTGATATTATCGTGTCCAATGTATCACAAATTATGTATCTGTAGAGTAGGGAGGGTGAGTGTAGGCCCAGAGCATTAGGCCACATGTGACCCATTGTACATCCTCCCAAGAGGTTATCCTCCTAGGTCATCGTCCATCCTGTCCTTTCCAGGAAGGTGGACAGGTCACTGGGAGACATATCCTTTATATCGGCAGGTGTAGGCCAAAACTCGCCGAACACATACTCTCTCATTGACGGTAACTCCGGACATTCGCATAGGGCATGCCTGAAAATCTCATCTTTCTGTTCACATATCCTTCATAGAGGTGTGAATACTAGCCCCATATTATGGAGGTGTTTCCTTAGTTGATACTGGCCAGTCAGAAATCCTACTGTTAAGCGTAGATTCTTCCTGGTCATCGCCAGATATTTCTTCGGCGCCAGCTTCCCAGGGTCGCCCAGGGCGATCCTGGCAAGATTGCATCCCTTGATTCCATCCCATGTCTTTAGGGATTGAGCATGGGTGTAACATTTGACTAGTTCCGCAATCAGGACGTAGGTGCCAATGGGTTACGAACAACTACAGAGATACATCGTCATAAATGCGAACTGGATTTATTGTTATTTTGTAGTTAGTACCTGCATTAAACGATTAAAGGGTAATAAACAAAACTAATTCATTAATAACAAAACACACAACATGTAGAAATCATAGTAAATGTTCAATATATGTCTACCTTCAGATATTACGCATGCGTCTAGACGTCGGCGCATTGAGCCACGTATTCGCTCAAATATTCCTGGAGTCTCTCTCATAGCGCACAGGAGAGAAATCGAGAGGATTGAGATCCGGGGATCGAGCGGGCCAGTTCTGTGGTTCTCCTCGACCTATCCACTGATTTGCATATATTTCAGTTAAATGCTGGCGTGCTACTTGACTAAAATGGGCGGGAGCCCCATCATGCATGAAAAGCATATCCCTTCTGACGCCCAAAGGAACTTCCTCCAGCAGTACTGGATGCACTTCTCTTAAAAATTGAACGTATGCCTCACCATTTAATCGA